CACACCAAAAATACAATAAAAACTTTGCTAAAATTAGGAGACTTGCTGGATTATTCCCATCGCATCCCTCCTTTCCCTCCCAGGGCTCATACCCACCCCTGATGGTTCATCTGTGGAAACTGGACCCAACATTACAGGGCTCCTGTCCTAGATCAAGTATTAACCACAAATATTCCTTTGTGTTTAATTTTAATATTTTGTAGCAATTACTACGTACCAGGCACTTTCTGTACTAAATTATTTATTTCTCACGCAAAGTAAGAGAGGGAGTTGGGAGCTTGCAAGTGAGGAGCCTTCCTGGAGGGATAGGGGCACAATGTGGGGGTGGGGAGGTTGTTGACATACACACACCCCACTCCACCCCCACCCCCCCCACCCCGTTACCAGCAAGGACCCCCATACTCTCCATCCTTTCTAGCCAGCTTCTATCATTCCAGGCCGAACCTTCAATGGCAGATGGGTAATTTACCAGGAAATCTGTCTAAACAGGTTGCCCCTTCCTAGCTAACCAGGCTCGCATTGCCTGCCCTGCACCCTGCTTTTGTGGGGAAGGGGAAGGAGCTGGCCTACCTAGAGACCAGGGCAGAGGTCCAGGGAGGAGCAGACAGAAAAACCGGGCAGCCTCAGGGACAGCAGGTGCTGGGTTACTCTAGCTGCTCCAAGGCTCATCTATACTTTTACTTTTTATTCTTGACTCCCTCCAATAAACCCTCCAGGACTACTATGCCACGGAAACTCCTCCCAGCAATGGGGAAATACACCGATTCTCTAACCTTCCCCTCTCCCCCACATCCTCATCCACCATTTCTAGTGGAAAGGAATGAGCAGTTCCAAAAGTCTGACTTTTCATATTTCATGCTCACCCTCAGATCAGCTCAAGTCTAAGACAAAATCCATGATGCCAAAATGAGCTGCCCAAATCAAGGCTTGGGGAAGGGGCAGTGCATGAATAAGAACTGGTAAGGGGGATAACAGTAAACAACCGCTGAGAAAAAAAAAAAAAATCACCGAGGGTTACTCAAATAATGAGTAAGTTTAATAATACATCAAA